CCTAAACTGACCTCAGCACAGTCCTACAAGGAAGATTCTTACAGGCCAGGAGGCAAGAAAGATGGAGCTGCTCAAGGGCACCCACAGCAAGGTGCTCTCAGGTTAATCAGGGCTAATGTCAGAAGCACTCTTTACAGTAAGATCACACGTACTCCCAAGAGGTCAGCGGGAAGTAGTCTGTGCAGGGCAGGACGAGGTGATCGGAGGAAAGGAAAGCCCAGGCCAAAGGAAAGATGCACAAAACTAACCCAGCCTGGTGTGTTTCTAGGACAATAATGAGGCCAACGCTACTGCCTTTATTATACAAACCAGACTGGATGGAGGATGACTCCGGAAAGGGAAATCAAGGTCTGACTGATCACAAAAGGGCTGTGTGATGCCTCCATTGCCCACCACCATCAGAGGAGGAGCTAGAGGCTTAAACAGCTCCACACTGGGAAGCCAACTCTACGTTTTGGTTCCTGAATCTCTCTGATTCCCACAGTTTCATCTGTAAAAACAAAGACTTTTTAAAGAATTTGCTTTATAGAGTTGCTTTGAGGACGAGTGCTAAGAACGAGGCTGAGGACATTTTATAGCCAACCAACCTTAACGATGGATTTTTGTTTTCTGTAATGATTATTGCTAAGCCCCTATTTTAAGGCATAGCATAACTGTAACATTTTACTTTGGTTCGGATTTTTGTTGGTGTGATTTCTTTTGAGACAGAGCCTCCCTATATGGCCTGAAACTGCAATGCTCACCGTGTCACAGACTCCCAAGTCTTGAGACTACAAGTGTGTACTGACACACAACTTTTAGCTTATTCTTTTAACTATCGAAACTTATTGCACCAACTTGTTCCCAGGCTACTTTTTCCAAGCTGATGCTATAATCCCTTACCATAACAGCCACTTGGTGTGCACGCCGTGCACTGACAATTGTGCCCTTCTCACCAAGACCGTGTAGCAACACCTGCAGCTGGAGAGGTACAGAGAGGGGGATTCCTGTTGCTCAATGGCCACCCAGCCTGCTTAGCGGGCTCCAGGTTCATGGAGAGACCCTGCCTCAAAAATAAAACAAGGTAGATGGTGTTTCAGGAGCAACACCTGAAACTGACTTCTGGCATCTACACACATGTGCTCTGCATTTGTGTGCATACACACAGACATTTTGATGTAGTAATACATTCTCTGTCCCCTAGATTCCCTCATGGAAGCAACACTGCTGGTTCCTATCTCACAAGGAAGAGCCATAAAGGGATTCAGAGATTGGAACCAGGCCTCCACTGACGTTCTGAGTCTCCATCGGTGACTTGAGAACTCCACACAGCAATCACGTACATCCTTCTCTGATGGAAACAGCCTTCCACCCACCACCCCATTTTACTCTCCTTCAAGGCTTTTAACAAACCCCATCTCCTCTCTGATTCCCCTTCCCCCACTTGAAGTATAAGTAGCAAGTTTTGTGAACTTCCCCGGTGGCTCTGGAATGGTGAAGAGATGTGGCCAGTGTTCTGTGTGCACTCAGTTCCATACAGCTCTTGTGGAATTTTCACACATCTTATTTCACAAGGCGGGAAAGGGTTGTTTGCCTCACCAATGAGCCACAAGTAAGAAGAATCACAACCACATTTGAATGTTCCCAGTGTCTTCCCTCAGGCATGCTACCTCTCTTCCGTGCCTCAACATCCAGTTGGTTACATTCACATCCATTTAGGTTTGCTCCTCCCATAGGAGTCCAGGAAGTCCTGCTTTAGGAACCAAGACGCATCATCTTAATCCATTTTTACAAGTTCCTCAAGGGAATTAAAGTTGAAGAAACAGGCAAGGATCCTGGAAAGATATTGAAGCGGTAAGAGCACTTGGTGCTCTTGTGGAGAACCCTAGTTCAGTTCCCAGTACCCCATCCACAACTACCTACAATTCCAGTGCCAGAGGATCCAACGTCTTCTCCTGTCCTCTGTGGACACATAGTGTTGCACACGCACGCAGGCAAAACAATTATAATTACAAATCAGGAATAAGTAAATCCTTTTGAAAGACAGTGCAGATAAGGCCCTCACAGAGCTGGCACTGGTTGGTTAGTTTGGCTGCAGTGTTATTGTTGGTACCATGTCAGGTATTAAGAATAAAGCCCTACACAGACGTCCTGGATGGGGGCTCATTTAGAAGAGCAAATGGATTGAGAAATAAGCTTACAGAGACATAAGCACTCCTCCAGCTTAGCACAATCATGTAAGCAGTCTATCCGGAGGAGCCGGAGGACCACGGGTTTCCAGAATGAGGCTGGGTAATCCACCACCATGTGAGAGACTGGGGTGTTCCCTGCTAGTTCACAGCCTGCGCGGCTCTGCACTGCCAGGTTGCTGTCTCCTAAGCTGTTTTACAACACTGCCATAGAGAACTTGACCCACAGGTTCCGGGGTGGGAATACTGAATCAGAAAAACTGGGATCCAGTGTGTGGAAGAGCATGGGGGCTGCAGGGTTGGAAGCAGGGAGGTCCCCTCTTATGGATGGGACTTGATGGTGTTTCCGACGTGTTTATTCTCTGAATTGTCATTTGTCCCTAGTGAGAGGTCAGCTCTTACCAGCCTATGCAATTGGGCTCTGGGGGCCTGACCCATATAAGGTACACAGCAGCCACGCACTAGGTATTGACTAAGTGATTCCAAACACATGCCTATATGGACATCTCTCTGTGTATACAGATGATACTATCCCAGGTCCATCAACAAGTTTGTCTCTCTCTCCTCACAGAAATACTCATCGTCTGTATGTGCACATGTCTGTGCATCTGTGAAGATGTCTAAGACCTAACAAAGGTATGTGGTGGCCGAAGGGCGGACTCTATAATGTCACAAAGACCTCTGAGTCACCTGTCTATCACAAACACACACTCACACCCCTCAACTAATCATGCAGATGTTTAAAAACTGAGGACGTTTATAAATGCTCAGGGTTTTTAGCTTAAATTTCTCAAGTCTCTCTAAACTCTTTGTCTCTGATTAATTTAATCGGTTTGAGCAAGGAGAAAAGCACAGACAAGCATGCCTATAAATGTGACAGGTGACATACTCAGAACTCCTCCAGGCAGGCCAGATGTCCTCTCTACAGTGGCAGCATGTGCAGGAAGTTAGCGTGTATGATGGGCACACACTGGCCGTCCTCTGGCTTCACAAGGTACCAGACACTGGTACCAGACCACAGCCCAGCCCTGGGAAGGACTTTTTATTGTCAGCAGCTTATCAATAAGAAAGTCAAGATTCTAAGAGCTGGGTAACTTGCCGAAAAGACTGTGCCCTGCTGTGACACAGGCGTTGTGCAAATTCTAGATTCTGATTTGAAGTTTAAGCTGTTTCAATGAAGTAAGTGTTTCACACACACTTTTACAGGCACTGATTTTGAAGGATGTGTGCTTAGGCACATTCGATGGTGTATGGACTTCACCTAAGTCATTCTCCGAACACAGAAAGCAAGTTAAAGGATGAAGACCCCCCACACACGGGTTAAAGACAGTAACAAGCAAGCATATCTCAGAGACCATTCTCCTGTGTTTATACACTATGAAGCCCTTTGCACTTGGCCGAGTCCGCTCAAAGAAATCTATTTTCTAACAAGGATACACACACACACACACACACACACACACACACACATATCCTTCAAGCCAGTGGGACATTCTTAACTCATTTCTATCCATTTCTCAAACAGAAAAATGCCTTCAGTCTGTAAGGAGTCACTGGGGGGTGTGCATTCCACCTGCCTTAGAGCTCAAAGGTCAGCGGTGTGACAGTGAAAGTCAGTTCATCTCTGACTTTCAAGGGCAGTGGAATTATTCTCAGAACTACTGACAGAGTGAAGAAAGTGGTTGGGGGCTGAGAAAAAGATAGATCTTCTTCTTAATCTGAAAGAAAAATGTCAGCTGCCTTCATCTAGATTCTGGAGGAACCATTTAACCTCTGACCTAAGGAGGGAAATTATTTATTTTTAAAAGATTTTACTTTAGCTCATAAGCCCAGTGGGAAAGGTTTCCATTGGCTCTTGCCTGTCTGTGAACTCCTCCCTCAGACTATCAGAAGAGGCCAGAGAGGCAACAAGGCACCAGGGGCTGAGGTGAGAAGGCACTGCCCTCAGGTCATTCAGTCAGCTGGGCTGGTCAGTAGGTTCCCCAACATTCCGGTAATAAGCACTCCAAGGTAGCCACCCAACCCCTGCTGTAACCCTGTCTTCTGTTCCTTAAATAAACACCTCCCCCAAGAGGAGAAACTACTAGCTCTGGGCTGACCCTACTTCAGACCTGGCCTTGGGTTTCATTTGTTTTCTGATTTTAAGCGCTTCCGTCACATGCATCTCCCAGAGTCTGAACTAAGAAAAAAAGAAGCCAGGCGCCTTGGGGCTTTGAAGTGGTAAAGATTCTAGTGTCTGCACTTTGTCTTAGGTAGTGAATGTCCTTGGGCTAGTAACTTGTTCTACCAAAAAAACTGACCAGAAGAGAAAATATATCATCAAAATGTTGTTGAAATTTCAACACAAAAGTCACGCGGTTCTGGCACTTAGTAGGTGATGGCACACTGCACAAAGCCGGGGCAGAGGGCAGGGGGGGTCACAACAACATGGCTGGTTTTCAGGTGTTCCTGACTTGCCTATAATTCCTGTGCCTTTGATTTGTTACCATTTACCCTCCGAACGCCTATTAACCGATTTCTAGCTTACTTCTTAGCACCAAACCATCTGCGGAGTCCAAGAAATAAATTCTCTGAAAGTAGCAGGGATTAAGTTGTTGCCCTTCCCACCGACCGGAGCTGGGCCAATTGCAATGGAAAGCGAACTTGAAGATAACACATGCAAAGGTGTCTGATACACCTCTTGGGGCAAGGGATGGGACAGAGACCCTGACTTAAGTTGCTAGGTTGGGCATGGTGCAGAGGGAGCAGGACAGGGAAGCCTCACAGATGACCCTGTTCTCTGCACACTAGTAGGAAGAGATGCTGGAGGGAGCAGTGTCCAGTAATAGGTACCTGAAGACCCTAGCGGCGGTCTGGTTCCTCCTCCAAGCTGTGCGCTGTGCCAGCACTCCTTGTATGATCTCCTTCTCATTGGGTAGCCGGTAGACAGGGAAGACGTAGAGCCAACAGAGTACCACCACACAGAGGGCACTGGCTCCCACGGGTAGCCGGGTACGCGGGAACTTCCATGCCAGTATGGCCATTGCCCCTCTGGATGTGTGTAGCCGGGCCCGCCCGCAGGGGCCCATCACAGTCTCAGAGTCCCAGAGTCGGTGGTGGGCGCCTCAGCACAATGCTAGGCGAAGTGGCAGGGGAGGGTGCCCCCACGGCCGGTCCCCCATGCACACACACCTTTGGCTTTCTTGTACGCACTGCTGGGGAACCCCCACCACGGTCCCAGAGGTCAGTTACAAGGATCTTCTCCAATGCAACTTTTCCCACGGATTTCTTGCTAGAGGAAGTGGCCCCCGGGTAAGTCACGAGCCATGGTCGTTTTCCCTGCAGAGGCGAGTGCTGGAGGGGTCTGGAGGAGAGCAGTGGGGTTGGCTGCTACCGCCCTTACAGTTGCCCTCGGCTGAGGTCCTGAAAGAGGTGCGGATGGCTCCGGGACATCTGACCCACTGTGTCCCTTTCAGAGAGAGATGCTCTTGCGCCCTGCACCGCCCTGCACCGCCCTTTCCCCGCCTCCTGCGCCGCCGCGGTGCGGTGCCCGGCACCCCTCAGACGTGCTCTCCCCGCCGCTCCAAGTCCTTGGAAATTTCCACGGCGGCGGCCCGGGGACCGCTACCCAGCCCCCAGTGCTTCGGTCTTGCCCGCCGCCGGGACCCTCGCTCCACTCCCCTCCAGAGCAGGCTGAGAACTCGCTCTCATCAGTTCATTCAGAGTCGCACCGCAGCCTTCCGCTGCGCCCTGGACTCTGCAGACACGCGCCCCTGGATTGGTGGAAATCAAGGTCTCCCCCGCCCTCCCCCACCCACGAAATTGCCTCTCGCGACCGGCTTGGGGCCGCAACACTAGCCCAGGGCGCAGGCCCCTCGCCGCTGCCCTTGTTCTCTGCCGAGAGAAGCAGACAATAAGAACAACGGCCCCTCTGGTGCATGCATGCACACACACACACATATATCTATTCTCGAATGTGCCCAAACTGGGGACCCCCCACCCTGCTTGCCCGGGCTGCTGTCACCTTCGCCTTTCTGCAACTGATTGGTTATAAACGAGCAGCGAGGAGGCTGGAGAAGATTTATTCCTTCCTGAGCTTTCTTAACCAGATCAGCCCGTCCGCGAGCTATGATTCCAGGCACGCACGCGCATAGACACACACACACACACACACACACACACACACACACACACGAGAGAGAGAGAGAGAGAGAGAGAGAGAGAGAGAGAGAGAGAGAGAGAGATGCTGGCGGGCACGAGGGAGGTGCGTGCACACCGGGGTCCGCCACCTTGCCTCAGCCCTGCAGAGAGCAGAGCTGCATCATCCACACGTGCGAGTGGTTGGTGCCCCAAGCAGCAGACCTTGGGGGAGATAACGGCTCCCCTACCTCTGTAGATTAAAGAGCTGTTTATTCTTAAAAGATTGCAGTGGCAAGCTTATCACAACCACGACCTTGGAAAAGTGCCACCCGCCTGGACCCGCCTAGCGGAGGGACGCACTGTAAGCCATTTCTGCTCGCCCAAGCAGGAGACAAAAAAGCTCGGTACCTCCTAGCGGCTGCCTATTCTATTTGCTTAAGCATCCTGTACAAGGACAAAGAAGAAAGTCTGCAGCCTCCAAAACCAGCCAGCTTAGTCATCACCAAGCCAAAATCTCAGACCACCACAGTTCCAGTTGTTCAGCTGTGAGCAACATTTTAGACGGTCCATACCGACTACTTTGTGCCTACCGTCTTCTTCTAGTACCTTCCAGCTCAGAAACGTGAAACTTGAGACGTTGGTGCAGTTATTTACCAAACACGGTGGCTGTCAATCTACCAACACCATTATGCTTTTCTTAGGAGGACCGCGATCAGGCAGCCCCCAGAGCGGAACCTAGCATGGATGAGTTAAAATAAAGATTGCCCTTGCTGCTAGAGAGAGCCTCCTAAACCAGAAGCCTGCTGCTTTTGTGGAGGACCTGGGTTCAGTTCCCAGCTTACACAGCAGGCAGCTACCAGTTCTGCTCTGAGAGATGTGGCAGGCTCTAGGACACCTACATACACTCGCATACCTCCACACAGTCACGGATACATAATTCAAAAATAAAATGAGGACAGGGTAGCACACGCCTTTATTCCCAGCACTCGGGAGGCAGAAGCAGGTGGAACTCTGTGAGTTCGAGGCCAACCTGGTCCATAAGAGCTAGTTCTAGGGCAGGCTCCAAAGCTACAGAAAAACCCTGTCTCGTAAAATTATTTTACAAAAATAAAATAAAATGAGGATCCCTCCCCACTGTATTGTAGGAAGGAAGACAAGATGGGACGTGTCCCACCTGAGGGTTGTTGATACATCATCGACCACTTTCCCTCCCTGTAATTTAAACAATGCACAAACGATCCCAACCACTCTTTGTCCAGCTCCCCAGAGAGCTGAGGAATAAAGGAAATACTAACAAGCAAAGGGTCACAGAGGTGTCATGAGGACCTCTGAAATGTATCATATTTAGTAGTGCCTTGCGATGTGAATACATTGTGCTGTTATCTCTTCTTACTCTTTTCCTACCTGTAGTCAGATTTGATTTGATTTTACTCCCTGGTTCTCAGTAGCATTAACAATGGCTTCAGCGGTCTTTTCTTTAGTTCTCCAAGTCTTCAGTGCACCATGTCTGTCAGGGTGTAGTGACCACAGACTTGAGTATGCTTGTCCCCCTCCTTACAAATCTATTGACTCATTTAAGGTCGAGTGGTCATTAAATTCTCCCTCAACAATGTGGCGGCCCCAGACCACCCAAAACACCAGCTTTCAAGCCAGCAAGGCGGTTCAGTGGGTGAAAGCACTTGCCATCCAAGCCCAAAGTTCCTAGAACCCATCCTATATGGAGAAAGTTGGTTGCTGAAATGTGCCCTCTGACCTCCACATTCACGCCATGGCAGGCTCACACCCACACATTCATCATACACACATACACAATAACAATAATGATAGCAATAAAATGAAATAAAAACAAGGCAGACTTTGTAGTAGATGTGCTCAGTGAGTATTTTTGATTCCTTTCCCATTTCCCTTGACCTACTCTGAATATTTCTAGAATTTTCTGATTCTGATAAATGATTAATCTCTCAATTGAGTTTTTCTGTTGTAAGCATTTTCCATGCAGAACTCTTCTTCAGTCTCTGGGTAGCGAGACTGTTTGCTTGTTCCACACTGGAAGTCGCCAAGCTGTGTTTGCATGACTGGGGGAGAGCAGGGAAGACAGTGTTCATTTTTCATGTTTGCCCAACTGCCAACTCCAGCCTAGTCTCAGCCCAACTCAAGAAATAACTGTTTCTTGAGTCAATAAAATGTCCAGCCTCAAAATTACTTGGGCCACTGCTAACTCAACACCATTCAAGGCAAAGTGTAGCCTCCTGCATCTCAGTGTTTGAAATTAGATATCTCACCTGACGTCCGGGGGCACTTTATTTAGCTGGCTTTCAGCAAGGAGGTTAGGATTCTGTTGTGGTCCGCACCTGAGTGTGTAAGGAACACATGCAGGGTTTGCTTGTGAGATAAAAGGCATTTTAAACTCTGTGAACGTTTCCTAGACTGAGCCCTAGTCTCTGTCAGGCTAGCCTTGCCCAAATCCCATGTGTTACTTCTCAGCTATATGTGTTAATCTGTTCGTCTAAGCCCTGAGCTGTGCCTTCCAACCCTAAAATAATACGTGTTTCATTATTCTGTGTGTTGGTTACCGGGTGGCAAAGCTCCCAACTCAAGCAACATAGAAGAGGAAGGACTCGTATCGTCTCCTGGGGCCAGGTAAGGTGGGACATCATGGCAGCTGCTCCCAAAGACCTACTTCCTTTAAGTACACCCTACTTCCTGGCTTTCATTTCCTCCCAATAATGCTATTATATTATGAATTTATGAACAGAATTAAACTTTTTATTAGATTAGAGCCCTTGTTATCCGAAGCCCAGAAATGTCATCACAGAGACGACACAGGGCGGTTCACCGCTGCCCTAGGCATCCCTTGATGAGATCAACTTGACAGTAAAGATGAACCATTGTATGATGAGCATATATGACGTAACGATAACCCGCAGCAAAGCATAGCCACCATTTCTCCGTGCCTCCTGTCCTTTGGTTGGGTTTGTTTGGCTGTATGTGCTGGTTTATGTGTATGTGTTCATACGTGAGGCCCAAGGGCACCACCACTGTCATTATGCAGGCACCATTCAGTGTGTTTGGGGGGGCCTAGAACTCGACAGTGGGTTAGGAAGGCTGCCAGTGAGCCCAAGGGCTCTGTATATCTCCTCCCGCCCCCCCACCCAGCATTGGTATTACAAGAGGGAGCTACCACATCCAGCCTGGCTTGTTTTGTTTAACATAATGACCTCCATTTGTGTTGCCAAACGTGACAGAATTCCACTCCTTTCTTTTCTTTTCTTTCTTTCTTTTTTTTTTTGTTTTTGCTTTTGTTTCTGTTTTTCAGCTTTGAAACCTTCCCTGGAACTAGCTCTTGTAGACCAGGCTGGCCTCGAACTCACAGAGATCCGCCTGCCTCTGCCTCCCGAGTGCTGGGATTAAAGGCGTGCGCCACCACCACCCAGCAGGCTTTCACTCTCTTAATGGCTGAGTAGTACTGCATTGTCTACCACACTGTCTATATCTATCCGTTCACGAACATTTGGGATGTTTCCATTTCTCTGCTGCTAAGAGCTGTATCAGGGTAAAATTAGATCAAAACCCAGCCTTTCTGGTCTGACAACTTCAGGTGTGAGACCTCACTTTCCACCTCATCTGAGATGGCCTCCTGTTCATCACTGAGTGGGCCCTACTTTAAGGCCTTCCAACGGATGTCCAGGATCCTCCGGACTCCACCGCCAATCTAGCCGTGGTACCCTGGGATCGCACATGTGTGCCATCGTAACCACTGTTTTGTGCACAGTGATGAACTGAGCTCAGGTCATCTGAGCATCTCTAGGGCATCTCCCCAGCCTTAGATACCTTTAGAAAAATAATCAGAAAAGACAGTGGTGCCTGGAACAAGAGATGAGGAAGAGAGAAACATAGGGAGATGTTAGACCAAAGAATGACCAAGTCTGGACAGCTAATGCAGCATGAGACTATAATTAATAGAACTGTATTAGAGAGATTAGTGTGAAACAAACTGATTGTAGTGGCTCATGTCACCAAGGAAAGCAGCGACATACAATGATGTGAGACTTTGTTTTATTATGTGATTCATCCACTTCCTCTGTGAACCCCATAATGTGTTAGAAGCCTCAAATACAGATAATAAAATGTATTTAAAGGTAATAAAATTTTAATTAAAACCAGCGATTCAGGGTGTGTGTGCTAATTCTTAATGGCTTGCTTCACAGCCATGCTCTCTGTCCTGCAGGAGAAAATTAGTGGGTGATTTGTATAAACTAGCTTGTTTATCGTGGCCCAAATCCATCTGTGAAGGCCCTATCATCGCAGTCATGGGAGCAACCCAACAGACCAGCCTTGGTTAGGTAAGCTTTCTCTGTCCCAATCTTTCCAGAATCTTCTTCAGGGAAAGCTTCTCTTTTCATGGGAAGGAAGGATAGACATTTGGCATCACTTCCTCTATGAGGTGGTTGAATTCTACAGTATATCCTGATGATGTGATAAACTCGGGATTCAATCGGAGTCCAATGGAAGTTGAAGGGCTGGAGAGACGGCTCAGTGGTTAAGAGTGAGTACTACTCTTGCAGAGGATCTGAGTTCAATTCCCAGCAC